TGAGTCTGTCCCTCTTTCTGTGTGTGTGTGTGTGTTTGGCTGTTGATGTGGTTGTGTGCTCTCTGCACCATCAGCTAGCCAAATGGAGTGAGCGAGTGAGTGAGTGAGAGAGAGAGAGAGAGCTTTTATTGTAGTCGCGTATATACCTTCTGTATAATTGTTATTACATTTTGTGACTGCATTGAGGAAAATTTGTTGAAATTTAATTGCGTCATTTTTCTTTTCCACTCTATGCACGCTCTTTCTTCGTTGGCCGCTTCGGCTGCGGAGAGTTTCTCACTGCGCATGGATTCTCTTACGAATTATCGATTATGCACACACACACAACTAAGTATTATTGTTAGCTCTGGTACACCCATTGTTACAGCAAACGCTGTTATAAAACTGCTCTAGATTCTCTTATTTTGCCGAAAACTGAGCGCTCGTGTTTCGTTGCTGCTGCTGTTGCTGTTGCTGTTGTTGTTGTTGTTGCCGTGCTAGCGATCGCGCGCGCTTTTTTCTTCTCTTCGCCTTCTTTTGCGTGCTTTGGACAGAAATGATGCATTCGACGCCACATTTGCAACGCTTTGTGATGTAATTCAAACCACTTTTACTATAATACAAACAGAATAGACATGTGAACCATCGACACACTCGCTTTTCCAACGCGCAACAAAAAAGAAGAAGAACAAAAACCAAACAAATCATGCTGATCCAACTGATCTACATTCAAATGACGTTTTACGCGAAAATACTTTCCGACCCAAACGAATCGTACCGAATACCCAGCCGAGAATGTTATACGCCTCAAGCCATCATGCATTTTTGGCGGCGATGCAAAGAAGACAAAGAATGAAATGATTTGTAGACGCATTTTTTTTTGTTCGTGTAGAAGAATGAAATGGCCCAGAATCACGATTATATTATGAAATATGAACTAGCGCATTTGGAATGGGTTCCTATTAGGGAGAACTGAGAAAAAAGAATGAAAGATCGTTCAAATGTGTCTATCATTTCAACGATAAGTCATAAATGACTAAATATGTGAAATTATGGTGAAATATAAAGAATTACAGCAGCCAATCGGAGGTCGATAAATGTTCGATTTCAGTCAAAGTTTTGGACAAGCGTTACTTAGGTTAATACAAGCCTTTTGTTTAATTTACAATCGAGAAAATCGTTTACAATCTATACATTGATTTGACGATAAAGCAGTTATCTGAATCAATATGACTCTTTGCAAAGTTGACGCGCTGAATTCATTTTCAACCATATTTTTTAAACTCAAACTTATCAAAAGTTCATTAAGAGAATTGAATTAAATTACGTGTAGTGGATCAAATCGTTGGACGAATAATAAGAGTTCATCAATGCTGGAATCCTACAGAATATTTCCGAATAGTTTTTAAGGTCTAGTCACACGGTAAACATGTAGACTGTTCTTTTTCCTTAAGCATGTTCCTTTTGGTCTCAAACATGTAGATCCAACGTTTCATCAAATGCTGAGCCAAACTTGTTTTTTTGCCCGAAAAGGTTCCGGTTGCGATCCCTGATTAGAAACGACGAATTGAATTTTGAAAGAAGGGTTTACAATATTCAATGAAAATTCAAGACATATAATGATTCCCGAACCAAAAAAATGTTTGATTTTGTAATTGAATGTTGTTGACCCTCTGCCCAAATTCAATGGACCGTTTGGAATAGTCCCAAACTATTTTTGTGGAATATCATAGAAAACCGAGGCAAACCAAAAAAAAAAACATACGAGCGCCTCTTATTCAATCAGAAAGTCAATGCAATTTCTCACTTTTTCCAACAAAAATAAATTCATCGTTCGAGCGGAGATCTCCGGATCAAATGTAACAGTAGAGGCAAAGAATATTCAATTCAGATTTAAAGTCGAATTATCAATGTCTCATTAGTCAACTGATTGAATATTTCACGATGAAATAATTCACATAAGATTTGTGCATAGCTTAAATTGTCCACACTATCACACTTGTCTTTGATGACATTTGAAATGACTACATAAAAAATGAATCATTTTTATATTCGAAAACATGTTTTTATTGTTCATTTTTTTATATTTTCATGTTTATTTTTATTTGTGAACATATAACAACACCTTTCATGTCATGAAGGAAAAAAAAACACACTCCCATTAATTGACATTTGCTCCTTTGCATGTGTAATACCGCACAAAAATGTTCACGTCGCCGAGAGTGAATATTTCAGTTTCACTTGAACGTATCTTACGATCTCGCACTCACTCTCTCTGATCCAATTGTTCTAATCACACGGAGTGATGTTCGGCTAAAACAATGAATTGTGATTGCAACGTTTGGCAAATGATGTGAATGCTTTGAATGGTTTGAAGATCGATTGCATAATCAAGTGCCTCAAAATGATTAGATTTTTATGTTCGCCGAGAAAAGAAAAAAAAATGCCAACCCGAGAGAGCGTGCAAGAAACTGGCGCACTTCAGAAATTAAGTGTTGCTAATGAAATAATGCTTGCGAGTAAAGAAAACAAGAAAAAAAGTGAGTTACAAATGAACCGAGCGAGAAAAAAAAATCGCATTTGCAATTATCCAATGAGTTTTGTTTATAAAATTCATATTTCAAATTAATTAAATAAAAATATTGTTCTGCTTACAAATTGCAACACAATCATGAGATTCGCGCGCACACACGAGCTTGGGAAAAATGATCCATATACATATTTTGCTGTTGTTTTTCTTTTCGGTTCATATAAATTTGCCTTAAGACAGTGTGGATTCTGTGTGTGTGTGTGTGCCAAAGTATTTTACGAAATGTGCATATTTTAGTGGTGATCGTGCAACGACATGAATCGAATTAAGAAAGAAGGGAAAAAAATAAAGAAGCGAATAGAAAAAAAAAACAGAATCATAAAAATGTTGGCTGGATTCGCACGAACACTTTTGGGCGTTGTGTGTGAAGAATGACGAATTTTTTTGAGACTTAAAATTTGATTTGGTGAGAATGCGCGCGCTTTTTGACGCAATCAAATGTATCGCCTTCACCCGTGATCGAATTGAATGCCATCGAACCATTTTAACTGAACAAACGCAAAGTAAAGGTGTTTTATGGAAGACGTGTTTGATTTTAAATATGACGTCAAACCATTCCCTAAACGCAAACGAATTTGGTCCATACGTAATTAAACATTGCACCTTTGTTCATTTTTGGTCATTTTTTACGCTCGTTCTTATCGTGCACAAGCAGAAAGCAGCGAGAAAAAAATACGAGTTTTTTTCACACGTTCTGTACCCTACGGTCCACGATCCGTTTCGCAGAAATCAAAGTAATCAGAATAGAGACGACGTTTGCCAAAGCATATCTAACGGATCCACACGCTCTCACTTCTCTCTACCTAACCGCAACACCAAAATTCGTTTCCTCAAAATGGTCATGTTTACAATGAACGATGACGTAATCGATGACTACTGACGTTTTCAGGAGTGTGTTAGAATCGATTGAAATTTGTAAGAGTCATTTCTATTTGCTCAGCAAACTCTAGTTGCTTTCTTTGTATCTTTCATTCTCCATATATGGAGACAATCACATTACACAAAACATTCACTAACTGAGCTCATTCAGTTATCAAATTGTTATATGTTAATTACTCATAGTTGAAAGTAATCAACCATTTTCTTTAGCTCGTTTCGCATTAAAATTATAATCATAAAAGCAATTGAGATCGCCTAATCATTTTGACGCCTTCTGGCCATTTGTCCTTTGAAACGGTTTAGAAACTGATTTATTGCGGACAAAAAAAGGCAATTTGATTAGGTGACATCAGATCAAAAACTTAAAACTCATTGTGAAACTCATTTTTTTCTGGATTTTTAACTAAAAATTGCCTTTAGATGTTTTCACCAAGGCAGTTTTTTCTCCGAAAATTGACATTTTTGATCACCCGTTTATTGTCAAATTTTGAACTATTGTAGAGCGCCGTGGATTTCGTACGGCAAAATTCAGTACTAATTGGTGTGATTTCGTGGTATTTCACAATATGTCGAAATCACTTACGGCTATTTACAGCTCAATCACACCAATAAGTACTGAATTTTGCCGCACGAAATCCACGTCGCCCCACAATTTCACACTTCGTTTTCTGTATACAATCAATGCGAGATTATAAGTGTGTGTTTTTGATCGATTTTTTTCGTAGAAATTCCTCAAAAAGAAAAAAAGCAGTGATGGAATGGCATACGCCACCGTAGTCCATTCACTGGCTTATGCAGAATGTAAGCGTAAGCCAACCATAAGCAATGAATGCGTTTAAATACGTTCGACGTCATTTGACAGCTGGATAATTTGTGTTGGCTTACGCCAGCTTATGCAAAAATGGACAATTGTCCAGCCTATCTAAAAATACTGAAAAAAACGACACAACATGTACACTTTTGAATGTTATTCAATCAATATTCTGTAACTTTGTTCAAAAGATTTATCAAACATCAATTAAAGTTCACGGTATTCTGAACATTTGCTTTGCTAAACCAAAAAAAATGATTCTTTGTGCGGACAAAAAGAATTTATCTTCTTTCAAAAATGAAAATTCGTTCAGTCCTTCTTTCAAGAACTTGGCTCGAAATAAACGTTTGCTTGAGTTTTGAACGAATGAGCTTTTCAATTGTGAAGTGAAAACTCAAGTTTCCGAAAACATACAGTTCAAATGAATCAAGTTGGATGGAATGGACGTTATTTTGAGAAATGCATTCTCATTTCAGAAGTTCTCAAGAAATGGGGTGTGAATCAAAACAATGAAAAATCCGTTTTATCGTTTGCCAATATCTCGAGCGCCATCTGTCGGCGCATAGTGCAAGTAGCAAAGACATGAACTCACCGAAGCTTTGTTTCCACTTTCTTTCAATGTGTTGCTTTAAAGCTCTGTTTCACCACGATATCCGACAGTCTTCTCCGATTTCAACTCATGTTTCATTCAAATATTGTTATATACTTTTAATTTTTTCAAATAAAAACCACTCGCTCAAATATTTGCAAATAAAAAGCTCGAAATTTACTTTATTAAAAAAATTAAAGCAATCGTTACACAATTTCTCTAAAGACAACTGTTGAGTTAATATGAAATAGGGCTAAAGAAATTGTTAACTCTGTTGAATAAAATATAAAAATGTATTGCTGTTATTCTCCATTTTTTGGCATTGATAGTCACAGACTTGAATAAAATGTTTGTTGAGAGCAGGATACAAAATTTCAGAGATTTGTTTGTTTGCTCTTTTTTTTTTAGAAAAATAGAAACACTAAAATCGAAATGAGTAACAAAAAGAAATTGAGACATGTTTAATAAATTTATAGTGAAAATAGAGATTAGTTGGGCGGTGCGTTTAAATGCATTCCTCTTCGACCTCCTCGGGAGCATCTTCCTGTTCGAATTCATCATCGGCGGTGGCTTCTTGGTATTGCTGGTACTCCGATACCAAGTCATTACAGTTACTTTCGGCTTCAGTGAACTCCATTTCGTCCATACCCTCACCTGGAGAAGGTTATAAAAATTAATCAGTGTGGAATCTAAGCTTTAGATCGATGCAAATTTGAATGTTTTGAGTTCGCAGTGAGTTGTAAAAAAATTAGTGCCGTATTGTGAAGAAACAATTTGTTTCAAACAATCGAATGGAAATGTTTTCCCTTTTCACTTGAACAATTTCTTTCTCTGTCTATTACACTTACCAGTGTACCAATGTAAGAAAGCCTTACGACGGAACATCGCTGAGAATTGCTCCGAAATACCTGAAATGAAACACCATTCGAGTTAATTGTATATTTTACATATGTCTTAAGGCAGTAAAATCCAAGTTGTATCTTTGAAAAATACCGTATGACAGATCAAAAAGTCTTCTGAAGCCTAAAGCAACTTACGTTTGAACAATTCTTGAATGGCGGTTGTATTTCCGATGAATGTCGATGACATTTTCAATCCCTTGGGTGGAATATCACAAACGGCGGTCTTCACGTTGTTTGGAATCCATTCGACAAAGTAGCTACTGTTCTTATTTTGCACAGCAAGCATTTGTTCGTCCACTTCTTTCATTGACATTTGACCACGGAAAACGGCGGCAACGGTCAGGTATCGACCGTGTCTTGGATCGCAGGCAGCCATCATATTCTTGGCATCAAACATCTGCTGTGTTAATTCTGTGTCAAAAATTCATAGTTCGTTAATTATTTTAAATTAATTGGATTTTCGATGTAGAGCGAGTTTGTACAAAATAATGAACGGAAAACAATTGAATCGAACAAAATTGCAATAAATCGAAAAAAAAATATTAAAATTTATTGAAATGAAGTGAAAGACTCAAATGTGGGTCATATAAGGAATATGTCTCTCACCTGGAACAGTGAGTGCGCGGTAATTTTGAGCGGTACGCGATACAAGTGGAGCAAATCCAGGCATAAAGAAGTGAAGTCGAGGGAATGGCACCATGTTTACCGCTAACTTTCTCAGATCAGCGTTCAATTGGCCGGGGAATCGGAGACACGTGGTGACACCTGACATCGTCAACGACACCAAATGGTTGAGATCGCTGTATTTCGGGTTCGGTACTTTGAGTGTGCGGAAGCAAATGTCGTACAATGCTTCGTTATCGATGCAGTACGTTTCGTCGGTATTTTCAACCAATTGATGAATCGAGAGGGTTGCATTGTATGGCTCGACAACGGTGTCTGACACTTTCGGCGATGGAACAACAGAGTAAGTGTTCATGATTCTGTCTGGATATTCTTCGCGGATTTTCGAAATCAGAAGTGTACCCATGCCGGAACCGGTACCACCTCCGAGCGAATGTGTTAATTGGAAACCCTGGAACAAGTACACAATTTGTAAATTCACATATGTATTCGGAAAAGAACTTTCGATTTTCATTACCTGCAAGCAGTCACAATTTTCGCACTCTTTACGAACAACATCCAATACAGAGTCAACTAACTCAGCGCCTTCGGTGTAATGACCTTTTGCCCAATTGTTACCGGCACCCGATTGGCCAAATACAAAATTGTCTGTGCAAGTGGAAACATTCGATTTTCGTTAGCTAATTTGTATTTAATTTCGGGTTTCCGTAATTCTTTTTCTCTCAAGATTTGTGAATTTAATTTGAGCTCTCGTTCATTTTTGTTCAATTTTCGTAGTTAAGTTGTAATTTTGTGATATTTTGCGTAAGATTTAGATTTCTCATGATATGTTGTTTACTTTAATTTTCCCGCACTTGGAGAATTTCATTCAATTTGTCCTCAATGATTGAGGGCCCCAAGAATCAAGAGATCAAACATAAAATAAACTTGACCATTAGATAAATCTTAAATTCATTTGATATTTTTATGGAGTGTCAATTGTCGGACTACCATCCTCCGTTGTTAAAACAAACCTGGTCGAAATAGGGGCCCATAGGCGCCTGATCGTACGGCTTCCATGGTGCCTGGTTCCAAATCGAGCAGAACGGCTCTAGGAACGTACTTGCCTCCCGAAGATCTTGATACAGCTAGAAGAAAAAGAGCAGACAAATCAAATCACATCGAATAAAAGATCAAAATCACGAACTGTTTATGAATTTGTTCTGCCTCTCGCAATATAAAATCCAGTTGGTAGGTGCACTTTCTCAGAAATGTAAAGCAGTTTCGGTAATAAAAGCGAACTGAATTAGCAAATGGAAATTTACGATAAGATAAATCGTAAACAGATTTTACGAGATGAGCAACTTGTTTGAAAATGATCTCATTCCTTCTGTCTCTTTTTTTGCTCTATGATTCGGAATCATCGACTTTTATTACGTTTCGAATAGGCAAAAAAAAGAGAGTCACTTCAACGAAACGCGATTTTAATGACTGAGTATAGTTCTTTCGTCGCGATTGGATTAGTGCAGGCAAAGAAAGAAAAAAAAGGTTCGATCCGTCAATTACTTTGTTCAAACTGTTGAAATTACCTGACGCTTCGTTGTAGTAGACACTAATACGTTCCAGTTGTAAGTCGCTGTCACCCATGTATACGCCGGACGTATCGATGCCATGCTCCTCGGAAATTATTTCCCAAAACTGAAATGAACGAAATATCACAAGAAGCACTTAGACTAATTCGATAGATTGTTTTAATAAAGAACAAAAAGGCGATAAAAAATATAATAAGAAGATGACGAATACTCGCGTAATGCCACACAATTGTTGACTGCGGTGCATGACGTATGTTCCATACGCTTAAATTCCATTGAAGCGTTTTGAACTCAAATCGTAAATGGGTATAAAAATGTGGTGTGTACGCTGTACGTGCATTTGCATGCCAATCAAATAGAGCTGATTAAATACTTCCACCGAAAATTATTTCTCCGTTTCTCTCTCTCTCTCTCTCTCTCTCTTTCTCTTTCTTTCTCTTTCTTTCTTCATTCGGTATTGTAAATTGGATAAACGAATTCGGCACATAGAATTTTTTTGTTGCTTCGTTTGTTGTTGTTCTTACATTTCATTACGGTATGGAATTATTTTTTACCCAGTTCATTTAGAAATTTGTTAATTAACATTCACATATGGAACATTGAATGCGTGCAGACCAGTCGATTCGGTATGGTTGAGTGTACGTGTGCGCGCGCGAGCAAGAGCCAACGGCATACAGAAAAGGAAAAAAGAAATAGTAAGTAGAGAAGTGGATGCTGTGACGAAACGTTAGCTTTGGTGTCAATCACATTAATTAGTGGAAACATAGTGCTAGTAAAAATCTCTCTCTCGCTTTGGCAAGAAAGATGTATGGGCTGCTGTCGTCGTCGTCGTAACTTAAAATACTTTCCGCGACTGAAATGAAAAGGAGTGTGTTTCTGTGTTGAATTATCACAGAAGTTACATTTATGCCGGCTTTGTTGTGCTATCGAAACTCGAGCGCATCCATTAAAATATGTCGTTTGGATTCTTTTGCTTTTCTTTGGTTGGTTTTTCTTTCTCTCTCTCTCTCCCTCTTCGGTTTCTTTCTTCAGACGCCAATCAAATCTATTCGCGTTTGCGCTAATTCTAGACATAGATTCCACCGTCTTTTTTTTCCTTTTCAAAAATGCACATCGAGCGCAGCAAATCAAACCCATGGCACTCGGTACATATCTACACTTTTAATTAAGTTTTTTTTCCTTCTATTTTTTTGTTTCGTCATACGTTCTTTCCCGTCGAAAATTGTGAAATTCTATGCGGGAGACATGCTTTCTATATTTGGCTCCACTTTTCACTCTCATAGTCGTTATGCAGATGATGGTTGTTGTGGATTGTTCAAAGAAAGAATTTCAACCGAATGATGAAGAAACCGTAGAACCAACAGAAACGAAAAATCACACTCGATATAAATTTGCTTGATGTGCTCGCGAGAGATCGATGTATGACATGCGGCTGAATTTATTGCATCGTTAAGTAAATATGAACACACGTGCTCACACTCAAGCCCCATTGCAATCAAATGATTGTGAAAATGATGCCGATTTCCCCCCAATACCGATGATGATGATGATCTGTGTTCGACAAAACATGCCAAAATGCGGCTGCTCATTCGACTGGAATCAACGATGCTACATCTTTTGCATATATTTCATTCGATGGATTTTCCCTTTTATTTTTATCTTTATAATCTTTGTCCATCTTCATCATCAATTTAATGCGTTCTTTTGTTTTGGTATTAATTTTGATCATTTTTCCGCATATTTTATTGAATTCATTTTTTTGTTTTTTTTTCTCACATTTTTTCTGTCGTTTTCTTGTTCAATTGAAGCATCTTTGGATCATCATCAACATAATCGACTCCGACACGTATTGAATCATTCAATTCTATCTTCTATTTAAGAAGGAAGACGATAGGATTTAGGGTTCGTTGGAGTTTTTTTTGCGAGTAGCCCGGCACATCCGATTAATTGAAGTCGACGAAAGTAGTTTCAGTGCCTTCACTAATGAACAAATGGTCACAGCTGTTTGTTGTAGCCCAGCATCAGAAACTATATAGTCAGAAGACCGATGAATATGCGTTGAAATAAATCATTCAAGTGATCACAAATCACAGAATGAGAGATCATTTTTCTCTCTGTGCAGATAACTTTTAGTTCAGCCAGTTGGTTATTTGATTCACATTTCGCATATGTGCTGAAGATTGCGATCTCATTCTAAAATTGTAATAAAAGTGTACTTCTGTTGCTGTTGCTGCTTCAAGGACCAACTTTCGATGATTTGATATTATTGGCTGTGCTATGGTGCACGATGGAAATGAACGTGGCGAGCGAATGAAAGAAAACACATGACAGAAAATGTGATGAGTGTCGAGTCTAGTCTTTACAACCGATGCAACCGTAGCATGATGAATAGCATCACTAAAAATAGCATCGTTCTTAGCATTCGACAGTCAGGAGTGTGAACATACATCTTCCACTATTCGTAACGGCATTTCCCGAAACGCATTCCCGTTGTCTATGTCAGGGATTCCAGTTGTATGATTCGAACCATTTTATTCAGAACATTTCTAGTGAACGTGGCATGGCAAGCACATACGGTATATAAATAAAATGTCGTGTATGCTGTGGTACGATTGTCTGAGGCGAAGAGCGGTGTGTCTGCGCGACGACAGCCAATGGAATGTGGAAATCCAATGCGAAACACTTGAAATTCATTTGCCAAGCAATTCTTGAAGCAGCCGGGCCCATTCGCTCGTTTGCGCCGAGCCGGCTTTTTGTTTATTTATGCAACCGAAATGAAAACGACAGACGCGTTCGGGCATCAACATTTAAATCGACTGTGAAAATCATCAGCCTACGAAATTGATGCAGAGATACTTGTTTGTGGAAATTGCATTTCGATCGTATTATCGCCAGCTGCACATTCCTTTTTGATGTTGAATGCTTTCGGTCGAAGATAAAGAGAACGATAGCAATTTATCAGAGATGAAATAGCCGTTATTAGGTTCTTTTTTCGATAGAATGTTTTTTTTTTAAATCGGTCGGTAGATGAATTCATTCGTTTTGGCTAAAGTTTCCAGAAACGTTTGAAGAACATTTCAATTCGATTCTATTTTTTTTCGCCTTTTTCTCATTTTTTCTTTCTTTGAATTTCCTTTGATTTTTCTTTACTTTTCTTTCTTTCTTTATGACTTCTTTGGATCAATGCCGGAATCAATTTAAAATAATGTTGAAAACTATTGAAATAACCTTAATTGGTGCAATGTTATTTTTCAATCAAGAAGCATGTAGATCAAGGCTTAGTTTGAAATGTTGTAAAAACCAATTCCAATGTTGACCACGATCATCCGTTTATTATCGATTTTCCATCGAATGAAAGCGACTGTAATGCAATTGAATCGCACATGATTCAATCGATTTTCTCAATAATTTCCATTTCCAGGGTGAATTTTGATGGTAGTATGTCATCAAAATACTTCTCCTTGAACATGCACAGCGGCTGCCAAGGGAAAATCGGTTGATTTTTATTTCAGTGTATTAATAAACCATCGGCGCCATGGAAATTTATTCTCAAATAAACTCAGCTGTTGGCATACAAATGATCCCATTCGATTCACCAATACAAAAATCAAAGGAATCAACTGAATCATCAACACAAATTCGAAAAAAAAAATCGCTGATTCAGTAGCTGCTTGAACGCATACACAGCAGAAAGGTAATTTCATGTTATTTCAAATGTGGACAATGTCCCAATGGATATGCTTGAAATAATGTGTTGAGCTATAATTATCTGGTTACATGGCTCGAAGTCAAATGGAATAAAAATTTTTGCCTCTCAAATGGAACTACGTCAGACAAGTTCAACGATATCTATATAAAATTGAGATTGAGAAACAAAGAGAGAAAAATTTCGTATATTTCATATCTGAATCTAGGCCTCATTCCATTAATTGAGTGTGATTTTTTTTTGTTATTTTATACATTTTCAGCTCTCCTCTTAAGAACCTTTTTTTTTAATTTTGTTTCTTTTTTCTGGTTCTCTGCATTTGTTTTCTTTTTTTCCATTCCTTCATACGTCTCTCTCATTTTTTGTTGAAGAAATCATATGTTTGCTTGCCTAAAATCAACATTGATTGGTTGATTTGTCGAGTGAATCAGTTCCAAAACGTGTGTTCAGTTGAACCAGTTCGAAAAAAAATGATTTATCAGTTAGTCATGGCGTCGATGAGATCTTAGTTATATGAGTTGCCGTAATAACTCTGTCATTCGAGCAATTCAAGTCAAATAATCGTATGTTTTTATGGTTGGTACGAACGACGATGACGGCGACTTCGGCGGCAATGTTTGGTATAGTAATCGCAGATGCAGTGAAAAGACAAACAATTTAAAGAATGACTCAGTCACATAATAGACTTTGATTGGAGTTTTGAATTTAAATTCTTGTTTGTCGGTTCGAAGAATGATATCGATGACAGCATTGCATTGTGTGAGTGTGTGCACGATGAAAACCCAAAAAAGTGCTTGACAAGCAGCACCATTCGTTCAATTGAATCAGCTGACCGTTGTACTTGTCCGTTCGAATCAGACCATCCATTATGTATGAATTAGTGAAAAGGAGAGAGGAAAATGCCAATGGTGGAGAGGGGTCGGAGCACCGTATCAAATTTGTTGGTGTTGTTGTTTTTTTTTTCGGTGGCATTTTTCGATCAATGTGCCTTATTTGAATTCATGTCATTGATTTCCGGCCCATCTGTCTTATTAGAATAATATGATATATTGTGGCTCAAGCCGTGGTCGTTCTTTGTTGTTGTTGTTTTATTGTACGAATCAAATTCTTGCGTGTACAACACAGAACAGTTATCACAATTATGGATGGCATACCAAAAACATGAATCTCACATTTTCGAATGACTCACCGAATAAGGATTGGCCGAAAAAAAAATCGATTGAAAACACCCATTTGATATTGGGTCATTAAACTGTTCACACTTTTCTCTCAGAACCGACCGATTTGACCGACAATTCAAATCATGATGTGATTGAAACATAAAAAAAAACAATGACGTGATTGAGTTTTTTTCCCTCTTAACATTTTAAATCTCATCAAGTAAAGAAAAAACAAATCAAAACTTCAATCGTGAACGATTTTTCGAGCAATTTTTTCTTGTACATTTGTTCAAACAACCAAAAAAAGAAGAATTAAATTCCATACAAACCTTGGCTCCGATTTGGTTGCCACATTGACCGGCTTGCAAGTGAACGATTTCTCTCATTTTTATATGACGAACGAACGACACTCAGGCGATAAGTGAACCGAAATGCGATTTATGTAAGAATTTTTTTTGGTCGTTGTTACAGCCCAAAATAACCAGTTGAAATGCAGCTGAAACGGCACAATCCAACAGTTCTAATCTGAAATATTGGGTGATAAAGTCTTTAACGGTTTTTCCCCTTTTCTCCTAAACAAATTGACTCAGAAAAAAAAATTCCTCGTTTAATACTTTGGAATTACTTCAATTAAAAACACTGGAGCGAATGGCTCTCTTTTTTTCTAAATTAATAAAAATATCGTATTTAAAAATAACCACAAGAGTTCTAGTACCTCGAGAATTGAAAGCGAAAATTAAGTGAAATGAAACGAACGTTGGTGATAACGAACGGCAACACAACGAACAAAAAAATTTAACACAAATCGAAGAGCGAGAAAGAAAAAAAAAAGCACTGGGACGTGTTCGCTTTGATTGCCTTCCAACTTATAACTAACTCGCCGAATTGAATTCTGTTCACTTACAGGCTCACTTAGACTGCTCGCTCTCTATCGTGTATATTCTTGCTGCGCTTGTATTTCGGACGGGCCGCCGTTGTTGTGTGTCTTTTTTTTTTCGTTCACTCTACACTTTTCTTGCTGTTTCTTCTTTGAGTTTTTTGTGTTTAGTTTAAGGCGCACACATATAGTTTAAAAAATCAACAGCTTATCGTCTGGAGTGCGTGTTGTGAACAAGCCGGCGGTGGCGATGTGCATGTGTGTAATGTAATATCATCACTTTTTCCGCTGATATTATTCTATGTTCGTTTCGATTATTTTTGCAGTTCCCGTTCGACCATTTCGTTTCAGTTTTTTTTCTTCATCAAAATACGTGCGAATATTCATTTCTACCGCTTTGCATGCGCAAATGTTCTTCGAGTCCAGAACGAAATTCAGAACTTAGAATATTTTAAAAAAAAGTTTTCATCTTAATCTAGAAATTAAACTTCGGACAATTTGATTGATATGGACGAAAACAAAACAGGATACTTCATTGACACCCTTTCTACGACATATATTTGGCTTCAATGAAGCCGCTGCATCATGAAACGTGAATAATCATTCGCCAAATGAATGACATTCGGTGCCGATCGTCATCACATTTTTGAACTTGATCAAACCAATTTAGCATTGTCGAAATAGCAGGGGGATTACAGATTGACAGTTGAGCTACATGATATATACTGAATGAATAGTTCTGTAGCTTGCCGTATATGATATTGTAGGGCAAACTGCGGCGCTAGTGTGCTTGTGTTTCAATCTACAAACCCCCTGCGAAATAGCCATAAGTATCTTTTACTAAAAAAAAACACCACAAACAAAACACTTCGACCGCTAAAGATGAGAAGAAGATCGTCACATCTCGTTTATTAGTTTGGTCGGTCTGAGAAAACAAGGAACATTTTGTTTGCAGTTTTCCAAACATTCTGAATTCAACATTGTAGTCTCTTCAGTGACATTCTATTTTCTATAGTTCAACGTGAATCATCGAATGACTCAACGGGTTAGACATCCAAAAACAAGCAATGGGTGAAATGATTCACATCGAATCATTGAAAATGTGACATTTGCCGAAAAACAAATCAAATGAAAAAAAATTTTCTTCATTTGGAATTCAACTTTATTTTAATAATTTTGGTCAAATTTCAAAGCTAAATCGAAAATTATTCCAACTCAAACCTTCAAGTAATGAGATTTTATGAGATTTTCAGCAATATTTTCATTGAATCACGAATTATTGACGCATTTTGTGATTGCATTTTTATTAAATCGTTGATTTTTTTTTGACGACTTCAATTTTTGTAAATTGCTTTACATGAAAAAACTGCGCCCAAATGAGTAAAGAGGGTTTAAGAATCTCATGAAATATAGAAGAAAGCATTATATCTTTCTTTATAAGACGAAAGGAGAAAAAAGCAACCAACAAACAGAAAAAAGATAAAAAAAAAGATGTCAGAAAACGGAAAAGCAAAACGAAAACCAGACACGAAATGGGCGAGAAAAATATAGACAAATGGATGCAAAGCGTAAAATCGAAACAAAAACAGCAACCATTTCATAATAAATCGGCCATACGACGAGTGAAGTTCATGTGGTTTGCATCGCTCATGGTCAATATTTTCTTGGAATCTGAGTGGAATGAACACGCACAATTGTTTTGCATTCTTGTTTTATTTACTCATAGAACTTTTTGCCATTTATTTTTCTTTCTTTATCACAATTATCCACTAAATAGCATAGCTCTGGGATAGCTGGCTAGCGTATTTGCGTCATTGTGTTAATGGAATGATAAAACTGTGAAAGATAAACAAATTATCGGGATAAATTGTGGCATTACACTGCAGCGCGACAATTCATTTTCAAACAACAAAACATTGTACGATGCTCTCAGACAATTTGTGTGCAACAAAGGGAAAGATAGAAAGAGATCGGAAGAAGGAGAGAGTAAGAGTGGGAGAAAGAGAGAAAAAAATGGTTTATCCATCAATTTTATTGGCATGTGGATACTTTCTCATTGGTTAGAATAAGTCAAAATTGGCAAACATGGCATAAGATGCAAGACAAAATAAACCGTTCGGCATAGCAACATGGTGACCATTTCAATTGCATTTCAGAAGAAAGCGTATGGGATTCGTACGTGTTGTATGTTCAAATTCGATGACGCGCTGGGTGCATTTGTGCGGAAATCACTGTATTTCACGCACGATTCCTCTCTCACTTCACTTTTGCACATTTTTAGCCATTTTTCATAATGCAATTCAATGCACAAGTCGCATGCGATACCTTTTCACACAGGCATTTACTTGCGGTTATTTACGGCGTTCTTCTAGCTGTATCCCATCAAACGAATGTGTTTTAGTTCTTGATTTCTTGTAACATTCAACGTGTTCAACAGACAATTAAATCAATGGCAATAACAAGAGATCAATTGAAGTCTGGTGTTTTTGAATGGAGCATATTTTACATGAAAATAAAACACGTCCGCAATTCAATTAACGCGAACATAAAAATAGAATGCGGTTAAAGAAAAACGCGCTGAAATATTATTCCAATCTCATAAACCTAGAAAATGTATATATATGCTTTTCAAGTTAAAATGCAGAGTTTCTTTTCAGCACTCTAAATGAAATTAATGGAATGTCCGAATACGAACAACTCTTTTTTGTCCACATTGACAAAAGCACATTTTAACATCTTTTTGTTGTTGTTGCATTTGAATGTTCTTTCCCGAAAACACGAAGACAATCCAATTGTTGTTCTGTTTCCATTTGCCACTTACGAGTTTTTTCCGTAACTAATTTTTTTACCTGTTACTTTCCAGATTTTGAACGTTGATTTTTTTCATTTTCTGGTCTCTTTGATTTAAATGGAATTGGATGCTTCTAGAACCATTGGTGTGGTTCACCAGTTGTGAAAGGCAAAAGAAAGCAATCTCAGAGTTAACACCGTAACACGCAAAAAATGCGAATCTTTTTCAATTTTTTTCTGAAATGTTTAGTTCTATTCTAAACGGTTGATAAATTACCGTCGATAAAATCAGTGAAGCGGGGGGGTCTCGTGCTGTTGTTAATTAGATGGAGATAGTAATGAATGAGAATAATTAAATTGGCTAATAGAGTTCATTTTTTCAATCGGGAATGGGTGAGAGTCAAGCTTGAGAAGCACAAGAGATGAACAATACTTGGCATATCACCACGATCCATATGAATATGTGACGCTAATTCATAGTTTCAATAGCTTCAAACAGTGAAATTCAAGTCTTTGTATTTTCCGATGATTGATTTAACTGAAAAAAAAATAATATGAGAATTGAAAACATTGCATCTTACATATGGACTCCGAAAAAAATTGATCTATACTCATATGTACTAATGAAAGAGCATGTTGGTTTTTTATATATTTTATTTGATCAAATATGAGGAGGTGATATAGCAACAATATTGGTTTGAATGTCAATCAGTTCATTTAAATCTATGTTTTTACAATTAAATGTCCAAAAAGTGTGAGAAATAATTCGACCGAAGACTGAATTGTTCAATTTTGGTTTAATCTTCATCGCGTTGTGTTCTAATTCGTCGAATTACAATTTTGACCATGTTTTTGTTTCCATGGATCACCCATAAGCACCAATTTCGGCCAATCGCGCTTGACTTCAGGAATAAATGCGGTAAAATACTCGCACGAAAGCTGATTATTTGAAATATCCAGTTGAACTAGATTCGGAAGGTTTGATTTTGTGAAACCTTCCATTTCCGTTATATCGTTTCCGTCCAAACAAAGCACCCCTAACTTGCTTAATGCAAAAATGTAAAATAAAACACTTTTCAAAGTGTTGTTTGAAAGATCGAGCATGTTCAATTGTGGATTGTTTATGAACGTACCAAAATCAACATGTGACAAATGTGTACTCTTTAGATAAAACCGTTCTAGTCGTGTGGCTCCTTTGAATGCGTGTATTTTCAATTCACCCACGAAATTACCTGACAAATCAAGTGTTCTAATAGTGGATTCAAACACTTCAGAGATTCCAGGAGCATCGAATGATAAATTTGTATTTGCTAGACTTAATTTCTGCAATTTGGTCAATTCTTGGAATGTTGTCTTGTTCACCTTTCCAACATAGTTTTCATCAACATAAAGTAAAAAAACACTTGGACTTAAATATTGAATGATCTCTGGTGTATTTTCCAATTGATTTTTCGAAAGGCCAGCAACATATAGATCTTGAAAATTGCCCAGCACTTGCGCATTATTGATTCGTCGTAAATGCTTGTTATTATGTATCCAAAGGTGCGTCAATTCTCTTGATTCTTTTATCACGTTCAAGTCGAATTGGCTTATTGTGGTATTCAATTGAAAAAATGTCAGTAAATTTGTAAACTTCTGAAGTTGGAGACATTGAAGCAATTTTTCATCATTACATCCGAATAAAAATAATCGCTTGAGTGATGATGATAAGCAGCGTAGCATTTCTGGAGGATTTTCAAAATTATTTCCAAGGACTAAGAGTTCCATTTTTTCAAAACTATTTTCGTTGCAATGGATTTCGAGTTTGGCATCAGATGCATGAAAAAAGCCTTCCTTTCCGCTGTTGACCATAACACTCGCATTATTCACTTCTAACAAATTCCAATCTATCGAAGTAATCGATTTCCATGAAATGAACGCTGACACTCCCATTTTTATCAACTGTGCAAATGAATTTGTTTCTTTCCCCAAATCATTTCCATACAACCATAGAGTGTTCAACTTTTTTGTATTGTTAAGTGTCCCCTCAACATGATCTATTTTATTGTAGCTTAAATCGATACATGTCAGATTCGCCCAATTTGCAAACCAATCGCCATTAAATTCCGAAATTTCGTTGTGTGATGCGTTCAATTTCACCAACTGATCATGTTTCAAATGTTCCAATTCAAATAAATGCAGTCCCGATGATGAGATATCTAACGAATACAAATTCGAAAATTCATCGAGATATCGCTGCATTTTTCCCGGATCACAGTCACCAATTTTCAAATGAGTAACTTTCGATTTATCAACTATATTTGCAGTAGAAAATGATGATGAACAATTCGCTGGCACCGTTCTTTTGAATTCCGAACAATAAAGCTCAATCGATTCCATTCCATTGTTCGACAAACCACAATTAAAGCGAGTCGATTGATACCATCTTGAGTCACAAATTTTTAGCAAAAACAAGACGAAAATAATCGTGATCTTCATTTTAACTAATCAACAAATTTGACACGCTAAACTCACTCAGTTCAAATGTACTAAACCAACTGACTGTTCTTCACTGTTTAGACATTTTTTATTAGTAAATTACGCAATATTTTAAATTGATTCAGAATTTTACACACAAACATACGTATCATAACACACGCATATAATCTTGTATTGAATACATACAAAATACTACATGGGCTGAAAAGTCTTTGGCCTGATACAGAAATAACGAAAATACTGCCAAATCCACATTAGTTTTAGATAAAACCATCCTTAACTAGAACTCAGTCAAAATTTGAGCCAAATCGGATGATCAGTTTGCGAGTTACAGCGTCTTGAACCAATCTACTTTTGATTTTTTCAAAATCAGAAGAAAAATAATTTTTTTGTGACGGTTTCGCGCTTACATTTCAAAGACATAATTATTAGAAAAATCAAATCCATATTGGAGTTACTTTACGGTATCCCTTAAGCATTGAAAATAACCTGAATGTATAAAGATATTCAATTCAGACGTCGTTTTACGAGCCATTTTGTTGACAAACCTCAAAAATGCCCAAAATTGGTGGTTTTAAGAGATATCAACAAAATTATCCACGATATGATATCGGACGACCCAAAACTTTTATTGTATTAAACTTCCAATACCATGGGCCCACTATCTTAGGCCATAGATTCCAGTTTGCACAGAAATTCTTGTATGAAAAATTCAATCGAAAAAATCGTACCGCATTTTCGATAATTGAGCAAAAATCCCAACTTTGTTCAGATTCGCGGCCCTCTTTGGATAAAAGGGAAATCATTGCATGTTTTTGCTTTGATATATGGGAATTAATGTCCCTTCTATTCAATCAAATATATAGGAGTCAAGAATATAATCAAAATTGTGCTTAAAAATGGCTTGAAACGAAAAGGGCCGCAAATGATCACTTTGACGGCTTCTGGCGGTTTCTGACGCTGTTACTTGATATGTAAATAATATATTCATCATTTAATGTCTGGAAGAGTTAAAAATGATGTTAGAAGAATATCATCTATAATTTTTACGCCGAAACAATTGATACATTCGGAGTAAATGGTCGATATCTGACGTAGAGATGAATGCTTTCCTTCACGAGATTTCTTGAACTCACAAATCTATTGAAGTGATGGCAAAATTTTACGTTTTATGCTACAACTTGCTTAGCCGTCGACTGAATTTTCTAGATTTAGTCCTCCTCAATCCATTTAAGGTCAGACTCAGACTCATGACTCAGTAAAAAGAGAATTTATCAAACAAAAAAACAAAGTTAATTTCCAAATTCTAGAGAAAAAAAGGAATTACTACGACGACAAATTTAAAGAGACAATTGATAATCCAAAAAAGTTTTGGAATAATATAAACTCTTTAATTTATAATAATTCTGGGGGAAAAAAAGATGAAGTTGAAATAAAAAATAGTATGGGAGAGACTTGTAAAGATATCGATGCAGCCGAGATTTTTAACGACTATTTCACTAATTTACCTCAAAATACAATTGAAAATGCATATGGTAACATAGATAAATTAGAAACAAAATTAACCAGTAATTACACAGTTTGTAATTCAATGTTTTTTGATCCAGTCACAACAGAAGAAATTCATGATATAATATCAAATCTGAAAAACAGCAATTCTGTTGGATTTGATGGATTGTCAACAAAATCGTTTAAAAATTGCATTGAACCACTCAGCAAAATTCTCTCATACTACATAAATAATATATTCGAATCGGGTAAATTTCCAGATAGATTGAAAATAGCCAAAATTATTCCTATTTACAAAAAATCGGGCTCTAAATTTGAAATAAAAAATTATAGACCAATCTCGTTGCTTGACATTGCTTCAAAAGTAGTTGAAGCAGCTTTATATAACCGTTTATACGGCTTTTTGGAGATTCAACATTTTTTTGATAACAAACAATTTGGTTTTACGAAAAATTCGAACACAACATCTGCATGTGTTTCTTTTGTTGATAAAATCCAAAGGGCCCTTAACGAAAAAAAAATAGTATGTACAATTTTTCTTGACGTTGCAAAAGCGTTTGATTGTGTAGACAGAAGAATCTTGCTGGAAAAACTTGAACGGCTGGGAATCAGGGGTAAATCCTTAAATGTTTTTGATAGCTATATGAATAATAGGGAACAATTTGTTCAAATAAATAATATCAGCAGTAGTAAGAGGGTCACAAAATACGGCATTGCCCAGGGTTCCAAACTCGGCCCATTACTTTTCATAATTTTCATGAACGACTTTCTGAATGTAGAATTGGGGGGTCAATTACAACTCTACGCGGATGATTCCTCAATCACATATATAGCCGAAAATCATGATAGTCTATATAAAATGATTGATTCTGACATACATAAAATCACTTCTTGGTTTAAAAACAACCTATTGGTATTGCATGGGAACAAAACAAAAATAATGTATTATAATTCAAATAATTATAATTGAAAGGGTCAGTGAAATTAAATATTTGGGGTTAATAATTGATTCAAATTTAAATTGGAATGCACATGTTGAAAATGTCATGAAAAAAGTAAGACCTTATGTTGGTGTATTCAGAAGAATTTCATTCCTTTGTGGAGATAATATTAAAAAAATGATGTATTATTCATACTTTAACTCAAATGTAATTTATTTATTAACAGTATGGAGTGGAACGAAAAAAGAAAATATTGACAAGATAGAAAAGTTACAAAACAAATGTATTAGAAATTTATTCTACAATAAATATAAAAGAGGGAACATAAGTACTGGTGACTTATATGAAGAACATAATATTATTAAATTTAAACATATGATTGATCTTGAATTAAAAATAAATTTCCACAAAATTATTAATAAAATGTTAAAAGCAGATATTAAATTAGATTTTAATAACAAGCATCACGAGTATGAAACAAGACAATCAAAAAGACTGCGCAAAATTAAACCCAAAAATAATTGGGGAAAATATTCTATCATTAACAGGGGAACTAATTCATACAATTCTTTGCCATCGCCAATGAAAAAAATTCACAAAATACAGACATTTAAAAACCAGTTGAAAAAAATTACACTGGAAGAGCAGTCAAAAAACTTGCAATGTAACAAATTAAGAAACAAAAAAAAACAGAAATATATTTACAAAACAAACAGAGTCACTACAAAACATAAGAAAAAAAGTTAATTATTTATTGAGATGTAACTATTTAGTTTTAGGGGCGTTCATGTATAACATTTGCCTGAATAAATAAATAAATAAATAAATAAATAAATAAATAAGGTGTTCAAACTATATAATTTAGCTTTGGGTTGCGGGAGTTCAGCATTATTCGAAAGCCATCTGCGAAAATTTGGCCATTTTTGAGG